TGTGCTCACTCGAGCTTGAGTAGTGTAAGGATCTGGGCAACAACTGTGCTCCAGAGTGGAAGACCGTTTAGGCGGCTGAAGCTATTGAAGCTTGAGGCTATCTCCGATGACCAGCTGCAACGTCATGGCGTGGAGTATGAAGTCAGTGTAAGGAGGCTGATGAACGCCGCTGACCCGAGCAAGAGAAACACTTGAACATTCTGGATTAGCGCCAAAAACCTAGAATGAATAAAAAAAAGCCTGGCCATAGCAAATGAACTCCCTCCGTTTCTCAATTATGCGGGTTTCGAACGACCACCAGCAACTTTCATAGATTGGCTTCCCTGACGCAACTGTGGGACCTGTTTATTTATCTGGAGCCACCATTTTTGGTCAATTGTAAGTGGTCCAAGCGAGGAGCGGCGGTGCTAGGTTAGTCTAAATTGATTAAGGGCGAAACGTTCGCCTAATAAAGTGTGGTACCTTCTCGGTTGCTACAAAATACTCGATACATATGAAATGAAGGCTTTCCTCAATCTGCAAGAGTCAATTCGACTTTACATGATCAATATAGGATATCACCATATCATATCACATATAGCTTTTTTTCCTTCCCTTGCTGAATCGGTTTCGTTCACTTCTGTGCGGAACCATTCTGTTCCATTTTTTCTACTTCTTTTAACCCGCTTTGCAATTGTTCAGTGATGCAAAAATATTTTGAAATATGTCATCCACTTGCGTAAAATGATTTATTGACGACATGGCGCTCAAGTGGATGTCGAACCTCTTTTTGCATAGAGACCTCATTACGAACATCGATCAACCAGTGACAGTGCGCGACGTTCTGTGATGGGCGACGGGATGCCCTGTTACTTCTTATCGTTTCCTGTCTTACACTGCAAACGACTCCTTATCAGACACTGGTCCGAACACTTTCTAGTGAACGTAGGTGGGGGATTTATTGCCAAATTTCTTTCCATCATTATTGCTATAGTTTGGTCCTCACGTACTAGGTGCGCCCCTTTGATGCAATTCATGTGTTCGCTAGTTCTCCTTATCAGCCTTGTTTGTCGCGTTCTTTTGTTTTGGTGTACTTGCTTTCCTCGTCATTTGGTTCTACCCAAAAAGTTCATTTCAATGAAGCGGATACCAGCGGGTACGACCTAGGTTTAGCTGTCACAACTGTAAACGTTTAATGTCGTTTAATATCTAATGATCGTAAAATATCGTTTTACGGATCTTTTCCGCCCAAAAGTTAAGTCATACTACCCAGTGCCCTTCGTCAGACATTGCAAAGATGAAAATTGCTTTTTTCCATGAGCAGCTTTTTTCAATCATCTTTCACGGCAAGGTCGCGTGAGCGAATTCGACAACTGTCAGCTGTTGTTAGAACTCGTCTTGTCTTTCTCCTAATGAACCTATCTCCAGTTTTTCTTGAATTCCTTGAAGTTTGTGAGCTGTAACAGAACTCAAAGTAGGATCATTTTCAAGTTTTCCTCTTCTAAGTTTCCATCAGCTTATGCATATGTGGTCCGATGCTGCTAGATAATCGGGGTTTTCTTCCCAATACAGACATATCAGTCGGTTGAACTATTTGCTCGGTCTTCAGAACGGCATTCTGAACCCCTAGAGTTGTAACGTTAGCGCATTCGTTTTACTGACGATGAGTAGATTTGTGGCTTTGTGAAGGCCCTATTGCGTTTATTACATATAAGCTTCGGCCGGATTTTAAGTTCGCATTTTCTTGTTTTCTCAAGCTAGAAAAATAAGAAGTTCAAAGCAATGATTTGTGAGCAATATCACTTGTGTAAAAATATGAACAATTACAGGCGAATAATAAGATTCACTCTGTGCGAGAATCAGAAGCCCATCCAGTGAACAGCGAAGTGGTGATACGCCTTGCTCATCAAAATAAGCAAAAAACTCTCCGTTTCGCTCCTCTGTATTGGCTCCACGGTCAGTGTTAAGGGCTGGTCTTGTGACATCTAATCCTTTTGCTCCTCTGCGTCTCCCTCACAAGGCCAGACACCAGACACTAAGGCCCAAACTTTTGCCACAGGTTAAGTGGCTCACACACCCCCCACCCCCCTGAATTGGCCCCATTCCCCCTGGCTCACGCATTCTTACTTACTACCAGGTTCCCTCCACACCAAAAGGATTAGATGTCATACAACCGTTGCAGGCTCGCCACTTTCTTGGCACGATTTGGGGCGCGGCCGCGGCGAGCGCGGACGAGTTTGTAATGCCCGCGAACTGTGCGGGTAGGTTTGAAAACATTCCATAAGCACAGTTCGTGGGCACTATCAACTCGGCCCGCGTCCCAAATCGTGAAGAAAATGGGGAACTCGAAGTGTCCGCAATGTCAGTGTTGAAGATGGTTTTGAACGGATATGTTCTTTTTGACAAAATATAGTGAAACTGATCTGTGTTCATTTTTGCAGAGCGGCGGAGAAAAAATTGTTTTGTTCCCCCGTTCTATTCATTGATCTTTACACATTTTGTTTGGGAGTGATCTGAAGAGAAATTTGTAAAAGCGCAACATTTTAGAAAGAAAATCTGACGGTATTCAAACGAAATACTAATTCGTTGTTGGTGGGCAACTAGTTGGTTTCCCCTATTATTTAGCATATCGAATTCATAATTCCTTCAAAAATGACCTGTTTGCCTGGAAAATCTGATAACTGTCTTATTGTTCCTTGCTCATTTTTTTCATAATTAACACTCAGCTAGACATGTTGTAATATTATGCCATCATTTGTTTCTCGCAGGAGATCCATCGCGCCCGTTTCCTACAGAACCCGAATTCCGAGCGTCTGCACTAGCTGCACCAAAGGACAAACCCACCAGTCGTGCATACCGCGCTAAATCCTTCAGTCTTGCTTGTCGCAGAACATCGTTGCACAGCAGACCGGTTCGTCGCATTCTGCTTTGGTTTTGTCTTTGGAATGTTCCTCAGTTTATCCTTTCTCCTTACCTTTCTCATTTTTAGACTTATGTACCTTAGTGGTGCGTCTCTAATGAACCGTTTCTTTGTAAGTCGTGAATCCATTTTTAGGGTGGAATGGGGCGAGTTTCCTCACCGATGGCGGGAATGCCGCAGATTCCGATGCAAGGAAAGGTTTGGAGCCCTCGAACAGGGTACGTGCCTTGATTTTCGAAGGACCCAAACAGTTTTCGAACAGGGTACGTGCCATATTTTCGAAGGAACCAACAGTTTTTCTCGAACTCTCCTTGGGCCAGCACTGCTTAGAATGTACGTTTTCCTTTATAGCTATCAAGCAAGCCAGCCCGTCTCCACGTGGTCGCGGAGGCGCTCAATGGGCCGGTCGCGGTGGTGGGCCAGGCGGTGTGTCGCCGTTCCAGAAGAGAACCGGTCATATTGGGGAGGTAAAGGCTTGCCTCGTTCTTTTTTATACTTTCTACTCATTATGCGGTTTGTGTTCAGAACTCTCCACGAATGGTCTCACCAACTGTAAACATCAACTTTGTGAGTCCTCCACCACGAATGAATCCTCCACCAGTGAACAAAGTGGAACAAATGAGCAGTGACAGCAGTTCAAGTTCAAGCAGTGATGACGAAAGCCCGAAGTGATCTCACCACGATCTTATTACGTTCACATACCAACTTCTATTCCGATTTTGTGCTTCAATTCTTGCAACTACGGACGAGTTAGACGGTCTATACGGGTATGGGCTTTTATTTCGCTTCTCAATTTCCGACTTCCGTTCATTGATGGCTGTAGTTTTTAATTCTCGAACCAGCTGCCATCATTCACATTTCATTTTTACAGTTTTCTGACGTCATTATTTCGTGTTCGTGCAGATGTTCTTTGTGGTGAACGTGCATTAAACATCTATTTTTCGCAAGTTGTGATCATTCTTTGAGTAACAAACATTGCGTCAGTTCTTGCAAATCGTGTCTGTATCGATTAGCACTCCGTTGGATTTATAGGTGTTCTCGACGGTTCCCTGTGGGTCCGGTTTGGCATTTTGGCCAGATGTTCAATGTTGTGGTGAGTTTTTGTTACACGGCTATTTTTGGAATAATTATTGATTGTTTACTTGATTGATTTCCATTGTTTGTTTTTTTACGATTATTTGTTAGTTCATAATGGATAATTGTATGTGCAGCTGCTATTGCATGTTTATTAGCTTACACAGATTGCATCGAATTTGTTATTGTTGTTATCCTGGGCTGTTTTGGCTTGTAAGGGAGTGGTTGTGGTGGTGTGTATCGTTCCTGTGCTATCGTTTAGCAATACGAATTGGGAAAATTGCTTTTCATAGCCACTGAATCGTCGACGGGCTCAAAACATTCCGAAAGTGAGATTCGATTGTTCACTTGTAAGCTGGCGGGGAGAGGGGGCAGTCAAGCTTTCAAGTTTTAATCTGGATATGGCGCGGTAAACTTTTGCCAAGAATGGGAGGTTCCCTGAAAGAAAAGCTCTTCAGAATAGCGCTTGTGGAATCTTATGGTTTGCGGAATGCAAGCGAAACGACTCTTTCATTTAGCACTATTGCATTCCCTTAGTGGCCTACTAAGGACTGCTCTCGCTCGGAGAAATGTAGCACGGTTTGCTGATCCACTCGTCTTGATTGGAAAGATGGGCTGGTCATCCCATTATGAGAAAGCCACGTGTTTGATTGGTGTAGGTCTTAACGTTTACTCGCTGGTTGCCAAATACCACTTATTATAGATTCTTCGCCTGTGCGGGTGAGTCGCGACACCAGACAGTGTTGAATGTGCTTCCCGTTCTTTGCTGTTGTGATAAGGTAACGTGTGGTTTTGAATCTTATGGTGTTATTCCTCATTTAGTTATGGTTTTTTCACCAGCCAATCTATTTACATTTGATGTTGTGATGTGCTATGAATACGGTCAGTGCCTTGATACAGCTCAAGAAAATAGTTCCGTGTTCAAGAATGCCTCCTATCGTTAAAGAAGCCCCCAATGAAAGGGCATTTTTCGTCAAAGGCTTGATCGATGAAGAACTCACTATGGAGGATGGCTTCGAATCCTACCTGTTCAGTGTGAGTTTGCTTGTGTTTTTTTTTACCTCCAAAATGGGTCAGTTGACCTGATTTCTGCTGAAAATCCCTAGAAAATTTATGTTTACCATTGTAAATTTTTAGGTAGGCGAGTACAACAGCGCAGTTGGAAATCCGTTCAAGTTACCTTATGATCCAGATACCATATGTGTCTTGATAATAAGTACACCAAATATGTTCGATGTTTCGTTCAAGAGATGGATTCAGACAAAGTTCAAAGAGGTACTGTTTTTGTGATTCTTTCATTCTTTTGTCGTTTTCCTAGCTCTGCTTGTCCTTTTAACGCTTGGATTCATATTCCTTGATACATTGTCTGTTGTAAGAAAATATGAACAGGAAAAGTAAACTGATTTTTTTGTCAGCATGGTTAAAATTAGCTCAAAAGAGAAATGGGAAAATCTTCAATCTGGATTTTTTCTCACATTCAGTTTTTTCTTCCACATTCAGCAGTGCCGTTTGATATCGAATTACGCTCATGCGATGCATTTTTCGCGAACACGCGGCTTTCTTGAGTTTTCCATTCATTTTATAGTGTGTGTACTGAATTCGCTTCACATTTTTATCAGCTCTGAGCTCCAAAGAGCGCGTCTGTGGGACGGCGTGGTCCGACCATGAGTCGCTTGCAAAATTCCTGCCGGTCTTTAGGTCAAAACGCACAAGGACGTGCGATTGTGTTATGATAGAGCTGTCCCTGCACGGTCGACGGACTACTTGAACTCAGCCCTTAACCGCCTCTGCGCTCTCTCGCGGGTCCCTCTCCTCTCCAAGGCTTAGTCCTAGGGCATTCACCCGTTCTCTAATCGTCTGTGCTCTAGCCATCGCGGCAGGACCATTGAGGAAAAATCAAGTAGTCCGTAAAGTAGTCAAGAATAAAATTCATTTACTAGGCGGAAGTAGTGCAGTAGCAAATAGCGCTGCTTACCAGACGCGCGGTCAAGGGTCAAAGTCCTTGAAAGTGCGCTGTTCAGGCTGACTGAGTTTTCTATCCTTCCTGTGTCGCTTGTTGATACCAAACTTGTATTACTGACTGAAATTATTGAATTGTGTATCGGCTGGCCCGCGAAAGCCATGTGTGGGCCGAACTGCATTTGAAATGCCACTATGATCCT